GTTTATAATACCTTGTAAAAAAATTATCTTGTGAACTTCTAGTTTACATTGTTTTGTACCAAATTGATATAAAGATAGAGTAATCCATGTAATCTCTTTTTTTAATATTTTCAATTGCTTATTTTGTTTATTCTCTCCCTGTAATATTGAAAAAACTATTTCATCAAAATAACGAGTTGATAAATCAAGCTATAAAAATATCACTTATTCATGATTTAAGATATTTAATTACCAAAAAGATTTAAATCCAATATATATTCTCAATCTTCTTTAAGTATCCATTTTATTTCCTTATGAATGAGCAATAAGGATATACACTGCAATGTCAAAAAATTCTTAAATAAGAAATATTTACCTCATGACCATAAATCAATCGAAGAAGAGAGAATTTTTTATAACTTATGGGTTATATGCGAATAAATGTTGCTGTATGTAAGATTGCATGTCCCTAAATATAAACGGGGAGTTTTATTTTTAAATAATGGTTTAGCTATCAATTGGAGCCTTTTGATAAATGATTTTGCTAAACCTTTTTGAGTATGAACATGAGCAACAGGATGTTCAATCTTTATTTTAATAGCTAATCAATAATAATTTAATGCTTAAGAAACAAATTCACCGAGTATTATCAAGGTGACTTGTTTTAATGGCACAATTTGAAAATTATGCTCGAAATCAAATTATTTACTAATAATCTAAAAAACGTCGGGTTTCGAGTAGATAATAAGCATATATGTGACCATCTTGTGGATGCATTTATCAAAATCATAAAATATTTAAATGGTCCACATGGTGGATGAATTGATCTATATATATCACCTTGAATACATTCTAAAATACTAGAGATTCAATTTCGATTTTACTTGGATGATGGCTTAATCATCAATTTACCTTGGCAACATGCAGAACATGAAAGTTCATTAAATTGAAGAATCTTTTGGCTCTTCAATAGATATTCATATAAATTTTTTAATAATTTTTTTGCATCATGAAAGACCCAAGATAACACAAATGGTCATGTCACATAGTAAAAGTATTTGAATCAATAAACTTCGGTTTACTACAATATTTGTTTTAATCATTTCAATGTTTGTGATAAAGATTATAAGAGAAAATGGATAAATTTTTTGATAGATATTTTCTACTCGATATAATGATTATAACATACGAGTATTCACATTTGCTATCTTGATATGATATCAATTCAAATGAATATCTTTGAAACTCAACACATTTCTATGAGACTTTGAAGAGAATAATATATCATTCATAATAAATTTATCCTTTCAAATAATAACATATTTGCTCTTCCGGAGCCTTTAAATTAATCACTTCAAGTAATAATATATCGACTCTTCTAGAGCCTTTAAAAGTTATCTCTTTAAGTAATAATAAATTCACTCTTCTAGAGCTTCAAAAATTTATCTCTTTAAGTCATGAAATAATCGCTCTTCTAGAGCCTTCAAAATCTATCTCTTTAGATAATAATATAGTCGCTCTTCTAGAGCTTTCTATTAGATTGATATTATCATATATAATATTAACATAAAATAAATAATCAAATAAATCAATATAAAATAAATAAATCAATATATTCCTCATAAACACAAACAAATAAATAAATAGTAAAATAAATTTGTAATCATCAATATACGATATAAATTATAAGAAATATAAAACATTTTATTTATAAATAGAAAAACTAACAAGTAATTAATTTCAATTATTATTATTTTCATATATAAAAGTGGTCTTCATATTTTAATCTTTATTTTTTAATAAGGCTTGACAAGCCTTAATGAGGTGCTTTGGTATACGACATGTACACAATTAATATTCATTCATTCCATATCTATAATATTTATTTTTTAGAATGGTGACTTTGTTTATTTTCATTCTTTTCTTTTTTTCATAGTTATCCACTTTTGATGGTGAGATGCAATATTATGGTCATCATGATTATAATGATAATTATTTCGAATACGTCCATGGCTATGGCCACATATTTGTCCATGCCCAAAATTATTATAAGTTGTCACATTCACTTCGTGGAATTGAGTAAATCTAGTTGGATGAGATTTATTCCTTTTCATCAATAGCTTGTCATTTTATTTAGCCATTAGTAAATATGAAATCGATTCAGAATATATCTTAAATTCATTTTCTCAAATTGCTACTGCAGGAGCATATTCAAGATATAAAAAGTAGAGAATATTTTTCAGAATTAAGCACTCATAATCAATAATTCTTATTCGAAATATTAAGAGCCACAAAAGTATGTTTATGAGGTTTGATATGATACAAATTTTATAATGTAATATATAATAATAATATTAGAAAATAAGAACAAATATAATAATAAAATTAAATCTTTTTAAATAACATATATTAGATCATTAGTGGATCATTTAAGTTTTTCAAATATATATTTCATGTATCAATAGATTTAAAGTACATGAATAAATTAGATGCATACCTTTTAATGATTTAAATAATTTAGATCTTTTGGTAGATCACTTGTGTAGAAAAAATCCAATTGTTGAAAAAATTGATTAAATCTTTTGGTAGATACATACCTCATGGTCTATTGTCTCGATTGGTTAGAGCTTCGTGCTGATAACGTATTATAAAATAAATAGAAATAATAGGAGATTTGAAGAAAATGATGACAAGAAAATGAAATTACTATAATGTGGATACAAGTGATAAGATCTTCAAAGTTTCTCTTATTCTCTCTAGAAAACTTGTACACCAACTAATGAACAAATCAAGCCTATTTATAGGCTTTAAAATTGAGGAGAGAATTGGAAGAGACTACGAATAATCAATTGCATCATCGTTTCAATTTCTCATATTGAATGATGAATTGAATCATATTAAGAATCATGAGTAGTGGAGATATGAAAAGTTGATAAACTTGACGATGAACATTTATTATTTCATAACATTTTTTATTTTTTATTTTTTGCTCAAATTTGTGATAATTTTAAATGAAGGGTAAGGTTGAAAATTTATGAACTTTTGGGGACTAAATTTTAAGTATTTCCTTCTTTTTTTTTTTTTTTCCCCATTAAAGAAGTTCAGTTGACTTTGTGAAATGTACAGCAATCTCCATGATTAATAAGAACAGAACAGTCCAGTGCCCAGCAAGTACTCAAGCATTTCAAAGAGCTCTGGTTGACTGTTGGGAAGCAAGAGCAATATTAAGTTCCCTTTCAAGTTCAGATCAAAGTTCAAACCAAAGCATAGCCAGGTTCTCAAATTACCATCTCTCTTTTTTCTTTTTATTTTTTTGCTTCTCATGTTAATTAGTGTACTCTTAAATTCTGTGTTTGTTCCATTAACAACTTAGTACATTAGCATCTCATGGTCTCCTTTTCTTTTTCCTCCTCCATACTGAGAGATTTTTTGCTATATTTTCTAAGGTCACATAGAGTTGTTGGGTCTTTTTGATGTAGAAATTAATGAAATATAAGGTTAATGCTGATATTAATTGAGAGTTGAGGGAAAGGTGGAAATATTTACATCTTTGGAGGGCCAGGATTAAGTTTTTTGTTCTTCTAAGTAAAAATTCTTGATCTTTTTGATGGGTCAAGGTAAAATTTTAGTGGAGGAGAGAAAAGATGATGGAGGGGGTGTCTCTCTTTGGATCTGAGACTGTTTGAATAATAAAGAATGAGCTCATAACGAGTTAGATCGATCATAAAATTGATGCAGGAATAGTTCATAATTTATTTTTATGCGTTTATAGATCATTGAGAAAAGAATTAACCTATCAATAGAAATTCTGGATGATAATTTGAGAAGAAAATACATGTTTTCTTTTAATTCTTCTGCTCCAGAGTTCTAATCATTTCGAGATTTGTTAGGAATGTGAACTAGGAACTCAAAACATAGAGAAACGATGTGGCTCAAATTAACAGCCGTATTTGGCGATCCTGAACAACAACAGTAAAAAAGTTATTGGCAAAAGAAGAAGCCAACATAGTGGATAAGAAACATAAATATTACATTGTTTTAGAACAAGAAGAGAATAATTATTCCTTTTTGATATATGATAGCCTAAAAGCAATCTCTGACCATACATCTTCTGAATCAACCAAAATAGTCTACTAACAGAAGCTGGAAGTCACTGTTATGAATCAGTTTAAGAGGACTGTAGCTGTATATGTCTTATAAGTGGTTTTTTTATCATGACTTATTTATTTTCTTATCTAAATTTAAACTTCCTTCTATCGAAAAAAAAAAAAAACCAATTGAAAAGTAAACTACTTTAATCAGTTGGCTTCTCATTCATAACAATCCTAGTTCTGTCAATATCTTGGATAAAAGGTGTTTCAATTAAATATGCAGTTAGCTTTAGGGTGACTTTTGTTTAGTGTTTGGATTTCTGCAGCATTCTTGCAAGATAAGCTTGGAAAAGTTTAGGCGATGGAATTAGATAGATATTGCAGTGTGTTGATTGATCATGTACATTGACAGCCATGAGAATTAGATAGATGTTGCAGTGTGTTGATTGATCATGTACATTGACAGCCATGAGAATTAGATAGATATTGCAGTGTGTTGATTGATCATGTACACTGACAGCCATGAGAATTAGGAACGCAAATGAACAAGTTTGCAATTCTTTTTCATGATTTAAACACTTGTAACCATGAGGCTTTTCTAGACTTCTTGCTTTCCATGGGTGTAGGGAGTACTAAATTGCCCTCCTATAGAGGTCTTAACTATAAGATTGTTAAGTCATAGTAGCACAATTTTGTAATGCACAAAGAGTGAAAAAACAAAATAAGTATGTTAATGAAATCGAACTCAAGATGGCTTAGTTTCATTTATTTTCTTCATCTTTTATTTTGATATACAATGAGAAAGAAAATGAATTTACTAAGTACTTGGAACGTTGTAGTAATTCTCATATTCCTGGCAACTTTCATGCAAATTTTTTTTTCCTTCTCATGAACTTGATTTTTGTTATTCTTGTTTATTTTGTATCAGCAATGGACTTGGGGACGGTGGAAGAAACAAAGAGAGAGATATTGAATTGGTTGAAAGAAGACAATGGGTCAACAATTGTTCTTGTTGGCGTTGCTGGAGTAGGGAAAACATGGATGGCAAAGAAGATAAGAGAATGTGCAAGCAGTGAAGGCTTATGCTATGCTGTTCTCTGGGTATCCATGAATGTAAAATATGATACCCTATCTCTTTACAAGAGTATTGCTCATCAATTGTCTCTACCATTCACTATCGAGAAATTGGAAGATGACATTGATGAGGAAAAGGAGGAAAGCCTCAGTAACTTGAAGAAGAAAATATTAGATAAGCTTCAGGAGAGGAGGTCGCCAAAGCATCGAGAAAACAAGCCGCTTCTGCTAATTCTTGATGATGAGGAGCCCAAGAGAGATGAAGGCAAGGACTTGTCAGAGTTGAAAGTTCTGCTTAATGTGAACTCCCAACATAAACTGAAGCTTTTAATTTCCAGAAGAAACATTGATGATGGCCAGACTGCTGATCCTTCTCAGAGAGAGATTAAGATTGAACCCCTGTCTAAAGAAGGCTCGTTGTCTTTATTGAAGAAAAAAGTGGGGGCACGAGTTTCTAACTCTTCAGGTTTTGGGCAATTCTCTGAAGCTATTGCTGAAAAGAGCTTGGGTATACCAGCTGCAATCATCCTGATGGCAAAAGCCCTAAATCAAATTGGAGAAAATGATCTGGATGGTGCTTTGGAAGAAGCAGCAAAGGATGTATCTCCGCTATTGCACTGTGCATATGGAATGTTACCGAGTGGTGTTGTAACGGACTGCTTTTGGCACTGTCGAGAATTCTTTCACAACTATGGTGGCGTGCACTACAACGAGTTGATCGCTCACTGGATAATGGAAGGCTATTTTGGTTCCATTATTGATGTTGAAGAGGCTTATGAAAAAGGACACTCTGTTTTGATTCAGCTTATGAATCGACGCATGCTTAAGATACAGGAGGATAATATTGCGATACTTGAAGGTGCAACACAGAGCATTATTGATAATCGTCGGGGTGGATTCAGTGGGACAGCCAGTGTTGGGCTGGCTAGCTTGGTTCCAGGTGGCGAATGGAAAGGACTTGGCACAATCACACCTATGGATGGCATGATTAAAACACTGTGCAGCAGTAAAAAATGGGAAAAGGTCCATACGTTACTGATACATGGAAGCCGCCTTTTAAGGGAAGTCCCTGAAAAATTGTTTCAGCGCATGGATAGACTTGAGGTATTTGCCCTTTTTGATCTTAAACTCAAACCATTGCCCTTGTCCTTGTGTCAATTGAAAAACCTGCTTGTGCTTGTGCTTAGAGGTTGTGGTTTGTTAGACAATATTGATCACGTCTCAGAGCTCAAGACATTAACTGTTCTTGAGATATCTGGGGCTACCTCCTTGATGAAAATCTCAGATGATTTCTTTGCGCAACTGACTCGACTTCAGAGTCTTAACTTATCTGGATCCCAGCTCCAATACTTACCTTCAACTCTTTCCAAACTGATTGAAATGCGTCGGCTTATCCTTAGACAATGTATAAGGTTGGAATGTCTGCCAAAAATACTTGAACTTACAAAACTTGAAGTGCTTGATCTCTCTGGTGCTACCTTGTTCAGTAAAATCAAAGAAAAAAGCTTTGCAATTTTTAAGAAACTCCAAATTCTTGACCTTTCCAATACCCAGATTGAACGCTTACCATTTATCAATGGCCTTGAAGAGCTGACACGCCTCTTATTGAGAGACTGCACAAGCCTGTCAAGACTGCCCAAACTAGAAAAATTACCTTGCCTCCAAATTATTGATCTTTCATATGCTGACAAACTGAAGGAGATCACCATCAATCATCCAGCTTCCAACATTGGCAATCTTTCTGAACTCCATTTGACTGGCTGTTCTAAACTAGAAGAACTTCCGTGTACAGAAAAGCTCACTGGCCTCAAATTACTTGATCTTTCTGGTGCTTCTAGCTTGAAAAAGTTCAAAGACAAATCCTTTAACCATCTGAGCCTCCTTCATTCTATCAACCTAACAAAAACCGAAGTGAAAATTCTTCCGTCTCTGTCCAACCTCCATAATCTTCAATTTCTATTGCTAAGGGACTGTTCATCCTTAGAAAAACTAGATGTTGGAGGGCTTACAAGACTTAAGGAGCTAGATCTCTCTGGTTGTGAGCGTTTGTGTGAATTGCAGGAATTAAATGGCCTTGAAAAGCTGGAGGTTCTTGATATTTCTGGTTGTGCTGCTTTACCAGAAATTGAAGAGCGATCATTTGTGAACATGTCTTGCCTTCGTAAACTCAATCTCTCAGCTACAAAGATTGAAAGTCTATCATATCTAAGTTCTAGCTGCCTTTGTCAACTTGTATTAAGAAATTGCAAGAACCTTGAACATCTTCCATCTTCAGAATCCTTGTCAAAGCTTGAGGTGCTTGATCTTGGTGGTGCTCAGGCTTTAGGTGAAATCCTACCAGAATTCTTTGAGCACATGATTCACCTTCAAAATCTCAACCTGTCTCATAATACACTCAAAGAAATTTCATTTGTTTCCAAATTCACCAAGCTCAGGCAGCTTTCACTGGAATGCTGCTCGGGCATAGTAGCAGTGCCATTTTTGACAGAACTTACAGGACTCGAGGTTCTGGATCTTTCCGAGACAAATCTTCGCTCTCTACCATCTTTGGACAAACTCAGCCACCTATCTAAGCTTTTGCTTAGAAAATGTTTGAGTCTATATGATTTGCCATCCCTGAAATCACTTATTCGACTGGAGTTTCTTGATCTATCAGAGAGTGGCATTGAAAAATTTCCCTATGAAATCTCAGAATTGACTCATTTAAAGCACCTTTATTTGACAAACTTGAAGGTCAAAGTTGATTGGGAGAGGATTAAGCGCCTACCAGAGGAGATAATCTGTGATCAGTTTGACATTTCTAACCCTGATGAAATCCTCGAAGTCAACGAGAAGCCTTCCATACTCGTGAATGGGACAGAATATTTTCAGAATTTGAAGAATACTGAGTTACTCAAGACATGCCTGAATCGAAACTTTTTCTGTGTCTGTCCTCCTATGAAGGAAGCTGATGTTGGTGATATGTGTCTTCAGAGGCAGGATGTTATCTCAAATGATGCTTACTTTGACATTAGAGAGTTTCCGTGTGGGAATGCGCCATCTATGGAACTCTGTGGATTTAAAAATTTTCCTGCAGGTGTGAAGGATGTCCTTGAGCAAGCAGAATACATCTCTTTGATTGACAGTGGGTTTATGAAAGGCTTGTCTAGTTTGGGCTCTGACAACTTGAAGTTGAAACGCTGTTGGTTAGAGAGATGCACTGAAATGGAAAATGTTTTCTCTGATCAGAAAGATGTTAAATTGGGTGAAAATCTAGAGCTTCTATGGGTTTCAAACCTTGTTAACTTCAAGAGCCTATGTGGTGGGAAAGTGGGATCTATAAGCTTTAAAAATCTTCAACATCTGCATCTAGATTGTTGTCCAATGCTGGAAGATGTTTTTCCTTCAAAATCAGGGCTGGAAAACCTCAAAATCATGAAAATAAAATTCTGTGAGAGATTGAAGATGGTATTTAAATGTGATGGCTCAGTCAACTACGAATTGCTAAAATTGCAAGAGTTGCATCTGTTTGAATTGCCAGAGCTGACATGTTTTGGGGCTCGATATCCACGTGAACTTAAACCTAAAGTCTTGGCATGCCCAAAGCTGAAACTGAAAGATTCAAATGATTTCTCAAATGGGCAGAATGCATCTGCTCAAAATGCGGGAACTGGAGCATAACACCTTCTGTGGCAGTTTGAGTCTGAAAAATGACCTCAGTCAACAAGGTCCGCCATTCGACATTCTGACCGTAAAATACACCAGGTTTGTGCGTTTTCTGGCATATCTTCTCTAATCTTTTGAAAATTCACATCCCTGGACAGACTTATTTCATGCTAGTTATAAGGTTGTTTTGAAGTACTGATTTCTTTTCTATTCTGCAAGATGATTTTTTTTTTCCCTGTTGCTCATGAACTTCTATTCTAACACAACTCTGTAATTTTTCTTATAACCAGTCAAACTATTTTGGATTTAATCAAACTATTTTGGATTTAATGTTTAATTGATATGATTCTGCATGCTACTGTCTCTGATGATTGGATGTCAACAATACATCTACACAAAGTGATTTTTATTATAGCAAAAATTTGACCAAATTGTTTCACGTCCAATTCCATATAGATCACTGAAAACTTGAAAATAGAGTATGATTTGATCCGGTTCTGTAGTTCTTATTGTAACACTACTTTTTTTTTTCTTTTCCCTCCTGAAATTTGTTCGTGAAACCCCTCACCCTCTTGTTTCTTGATTAATTGTTTTAACACCCTGTATTGTCTCGTGTATGACAGTTTCCTGTATTGTGCCATGTACAAGTGCCAAAAACTTGATCCAATAAATTGTGAGGGCCTGAGGGGTCGCCCAACATTCTATGATACAAAGAGGCTGCAGTACCTTTGAGGCAAATATGTTGTGGCATCCTTGAGTTATTGATGAAACAGATTGCAGTAACTGATTAGAAACCAACTCTGTAACTCTCAAGCATCTTTTTTGTTTGGTAAGTGCATTATCTTGTCTGTTTGTGCATTAATGGATATTGGTTTTAAGATGATTTAAAAGTATATTTTTTTATGATTTAAAAATATATATTTTTTCCACATCAGTCTAGTGTTTTCAAAAAGAAATTAATAATTTTTTTCTACATATTCACCTTAATGTTTGAATCCAAGAAATAAAAAAAGAAAGCATCTAAATATTACACGTTAAGAAAATAGGCAATTTGCGATGGATTTTATTCCGTCGCAATATAGCTACTAAATAATGATGGATTAGCCGTAAAAGGAAAAATGCACAATTTAGCAATTAAAAGCGACATAATAGCGACAAACGCATAGTGACGGATGTAATTTCATCGCTAAATATCGTAGCAAAAAAATTGCCACAATCAATGACGGAATTACGATGGAATTTCGTCGTTGATTTAGCGATGACCACAAAATTTCATCGCTAGATTCATCGTTGGAAAAGCTTCATCGGTAATATGTCGTTACCCATTATTGATCGTCACTAATTAACAACGGATAATAACGTCGTTACCCAATGACGGAATTACGATGGAATTTCGTCATTGATTTAGCGATGACCACAAAATTTCATCGCTAGATTCATCGTTGGCAAAGCTTCATCAGCAATATGTCGTTACCCATTGCTGATCGTCACTAATTAACAACGGATAATAACCCATCACTAAATGCAAAGTGGATGGGGGAATTTACCGATTGAAATTGTCGGTGGATTTGAAATTCAAATTAATGACAGATTAGCGAAGGATTAATGAATTCGTCGTTATTTTAGCAAATTTCTCAATCTTTTCGGAGAATTCGTTGCTAGTTTAAAATTCAAATTAGCGATGAAAATATATCCGTCACTATCTATTAAACCTTAAAAGTCACTTATTCTCTTCTTCTTCCTCACTTCTCTCATTTCCCTCTCCTCCCTTTTGTTGTCGCTAGCCCCAAATTGCCACCCCTCGTTGCTGCACACCACCCACTCCCTCCTTAGCCCACTCAATTCGGCGAGGTGTATCTTTCTCCCCAAATTCCGACGCAGTCTCTCCCGTCCCTCCTTGATCTCTTTGGTAATTTTTTTTCTCTAGATCTTAAGTTTTTTTTTTTTTATATATAATTATATTAATGTAATTAGTTATCATGTTAATTTTGTAAATTGTTAGTTGGGTAATTGTTTATTTAATTTCGTTATTTATCAATTTATTTTTTAATTATTAGTGTAAAGTTGTTAATTGTTAGTGTTAATTTTTATGTTAATTATTAGTTTAAATTTTTTAATTATTTATTTAATTTTGTTAATTATTAGATTAATTTTGTTAATTGTTAGTGTTACGTTAAATTATATTTATATAATTTAGATAAGGTTGATTAATTATTAAGTTATTTGTTATTAATTGTTAGGTCAAAATTTAGTTACATAATTTTTAATTTTTAATTTATTTTTGTTAATTATTAGTTGAATTTTGTTAATTGTTAGTGTTAGGTTAAATTTTAATTATGTAATTTTTTAGGTAATTTAGATAAATTGGTTGATTAATTGTTAAGTTATTTTTTATTAATTGGTTGGTTAATTTTTTAATTTATTATTAATTTGTTATTTATTTTTTTATTAGTTGTTAGGTTAATATTTTTATTTTTTTGTTATTTTTAAATTTAAATAATATTTAAATTTGGATTAATTTAATTAGTTAGGATTAATTTAATTTAATTAATTTGATTTATGGTTAATTTGAATATAAATGCTAGAAGTAATTATTATAGTTTAATTATTAAAAATGATCAGCATTCAATCACATAAAGAATCGGTCATTTTACTTTCTTTCAATTTATTTAATTTTTTAAGAAATAAATATGAAAGAAAAATAATTTTTTTAACAAAGTAAAGTATAAACCAACATTATAGCTCCATGTGAACAAAATCAAGCAAACATAAACAATCTGTCGTTTTTCTTACTTTTAATTTTTTTTCTATCAACCAACATTGAATTGTTCATTTAAATTTTTTGAAAAAAAAAAATTGAAATCTTTCTTTAATTAGAATGTTATAATTAAATATTTAATTAAAAAACCCTAGTTTTGATATAAAAATATTAACTTGATTGAAATAAAGTTACAATTTAATAAATATTTAATTTAGTTGAATTTATTATTAAATTAATTGAGAAAATTTAATAAACATAAATGTTTTTAGCTTTGATGTAGATACCTTTTCATTAATTAAAAGAATTTTTTAAATATATTTTATTTAATTTAAAATATTTTCAATTATTAAATATAATATTATTTTAAAGGGTTCTTTTGTTACGTAAAATAAAATTTAATTAAAATGTTTAATTGGTATAATAAAAAAAGGTAAGCATAAAAAAATTAAAAAATTCTTAGTTCATGAACTCAATTAAAATAAAGTAAAAATAGGCGTACTAATAGAAAGTTAGGGTAGACCATGTAAAAAAGAAAAATAAAAAAAATAAAATTACATTATAAATAATTCAATATTTTAAAATTCAATATTTTAGAATAAAAAGCGTGAGAAAGATGTAATCTTAAATTCTTAAAACAAAATTCCTAAGAAGTACACAACCAATATATATGCTTAATTTTTATTTAAAATTCATAGGAATGTTGATAAATAATTGTTTGCACATGTTGTGTAATTTTTGTAGTAGTTACAAAAATGAGATCCGATCGGCAACGAATGAATGTTAGGTTAGTTAACGGATTGTTAAATGATGATTTTGTCAAAGGTGTTGAACAATTTATAGTTTTTACCGTTGAACATCCCGAATGTATGGACAAAATCAAAATTAGGTGCCTTTGTAATAATAGTAAGTTTCGAAACGTAAACTATAAAGAGGTTGAAATGGTAAAATATCATTATGTCGTAAGGGTTTTGTGCTAAAATATTATGATTGGATACATTATAAAAAATTTGAGTCCTACTTGACATCTATTGATTCTAGGAGTCATTATGTTTTTAAAAATTATTATGTAAGTGAAGATAGTTCTAATGAACCCCCAAACTCATATCAAACTATGGTAATGGATGCAGTCGATCCATCCCTTGATTCGTCTACCATAGAGGAGGTTCCAAATCTTAGAGCCCAGAGACTTTTTATGATATGCCGAATGCATCATGTAAAGATATTTGGCTCGGTTGTGATAAGCACTCGCAATTATTGATGATTGCTCGAATGCCGAATCCGAAAGTCGAATATTATTTTTCTAAAACGTGTTTCGATCATTTATGTAAGTCGATGAAAGAGTTGATGTCGGTTGGTAACTATATGATTGACAACTTTTACGAAACAAAGAAACTTGTTAAGGGGATGAGTTAACCAGATGAAAAAAATTCATTATTTTCAGAATAACAACATGATTTATTGAAAGGAAGACGAGTGAATTAGATAAATACAAGTTCCGTCAATATCCTCGATATTGAAGTTTTTTGGGGATCGACAAGAGCAAAACTCATACCAATTAAAAAAATGTATTACTTTTTCTTAATCCCGAGTCCGTAATGATTGTATGTTATGAATGCCATAGTCGAGCACATGATGTGGTACACCAAACATGAGGTAGATGATACATGAGTAATGCATCATCCCTTTGATTCTATTGCATGGCAAAGTTTCAATCAAATTAATATTTTTTTTACAATTGAAAGAAAGAACGTTAGATTTAGAATTTACACCGATGGGTTTTAAGCATTTAGTCAATCCAATGCATAATATTCTTCATGATCGGTAGTTATGACTCCTTACAATTTGCCATCCAGGATATATATAAAGGAGGAATATATGTTCCTAACATTGATTGTTTCGAGTCCAACAAATTCAAAGCATAAGTTAGACATTTACTTATAGCCTTTCATATTTGAGCTTATTCGAGTCCAACAAATTCAAAACATTTTTTTTTATTAAAAGCTATAGTTATGTGGACTATTAGTGACTTTTCTACATATTTGATGCTATGTGGTTGGAGTATTGTAGCAAAACAAGCTTATCTTTACTATATGAAAAATTCAAATGCTTTCTCCCTTTTTAATGGAGGAAAGACCTTGTGGTTTGACAATCATGGAAAGTTTTTTTTTCTTATGATCATCCATATAGAAGAAGCAAGAAAGCATTCACCATAAAAAAGGTTTGATCCGGCCCTCCTCCAATCTAATCTAGAGTT